ACACGGTACACACAATACACACAGTACACACAGTACACACAGTACACACAGTAGACATAGTACACACACATTACACACAGTACACAAATAGTGCACACAGTACACACAGTACACATGGTACACACACTGAGTGAGGCAGAATACACAAAACATTTATGTGAGGACAACATTAAGACATTGTCTTTTTGTGTTTGGCGCCAATAAAGTAACCCATCACTTTTTGTGGGCGGAGCCTGGTCTTTACTAGATTAATGCAATTTGTGTGTGTGTGTGTTTGTGTTTTGAGTCGGTGGGTGTGTTAGTGGACCAGCAGCGTGCCGTTGTCAGCTCTCTGCAGTACTTCAAAGCTCTGGTGGACAGACTGGGACTTGACAGGCCTGGCGTGGACAAAATGGTCCTGGACCAGTCTGTGGTGGGTGGCTTACTGGGTGGGGCATCGGGTGGAATCCTGGAGGCAGTTCAGACTCTGGTTCAGCTCGAGCAACGTTTTCTCAACAGGTAGAGTCCACTTGCTAGTCTTTAGACATCAGAGAGTGTTATGTCCTTAACACGTCTGTCCTCCCTGCAGTAAGACCATCTCTGCCTGTCTCATTCGTCTCTACCGCTCTGTGGCTCAGCTGATTCGCTGGGCCAATCTGGTGATGCTGCAGGGCGTGGTCCAGGACAACGAGGAGTCCAAGGAGAGCGTTACCACAGTGATCAGGGCTGTGCTGAATGGCACCAAGGTGAGGACAGCGTCTCATATTGTTTCTGTCCTCTGGTCTATCATTTGCTGTCTCATGGACCAATTCTGTTTCATCTGGTTTATCTTCTGGTTCTTTCCTGTCCCCTATTTATTCTTGTCCATCAGGAACTGGTTCGATTGGTTGCCGAGAGACAAGATAGCTCCACCCCTTTGTCTCCTGTCTATTCTCAGTCAGAAGGTTTTTTTGAGCCTAAGACATCAGACAGTGTATCAACCTGCACAAGTCCTTCAGAGGAAGGAGAGGTTCCAAAGACGGAGATACAGGAGAAGGAGTACCATGTAGAAGCACCACCCAAACCGCCAATGCCTGTCCCAGAACTCCCCCCACTCGTACCCAAGTGAGTCTAGACTTTGAACTGATTGACTATTGGACGGAGTCTGCCTGTAAAAATGTCTGAGTGCTTATTGGTACAGATAAGATAGAAAGCACAAGTCAATGTATCTCTGGTTCTGGTCCCAAGCTGTGTAAATGGTGATGGTTGTGTGAGGAAGGGCATCGGATGTAAAACATTTTTTTTTTACCAAAACCATAATGCAAGTTCATCAAAGTGAAACCACCGGATCGGTCGAGGCCCGGGTTACCAACGACCACCACCAGTGCTGTTGACAAACAGGGTGTCAGCAGAAACTGTGCTACTGTTAGTTGAAGACCACGAGGAGGGAAACATGTCAGGAGACAGAGGAGAAGAGGAAAGTGAAGAATGTAGGACTGAGGGTTGCAGCTCTAAATGTGGGGACATTGACAGGTAAAGGTAGAGAGCTGGCTGACATGATGCTGAGAAGGAAGGTAGATGTTTTATGTGTCCAAGAGACCAAGTGGAGAATGGAAATGGCTGTAGTCAACACCTATTTCCAAAAGAGGGAGGAGCATAGAGTGACCTATAAGAGTGGAGGAAGGAGTACACAGGTCGACTACATTCTGTGTAGAAGACAAACCTGAGGGAAAAATCCATCCATTATCTTTACCCGCTTATTCCATTTTGGGTCACAGGGGTCGCTGGTGCCCATGTCCAGCAATCACTGTGCAAAGGGCGGGGGACACCCTGGACGAGTCGCAAGTCCTTCACAGGGACACATAGAGACAAACGAGACAAACAACCATTCACTCTCTCACTCACACCTAGGGACAATTTAGAGTTACCAATCAGCCTAACATGCATGTTTTTGGTATGTGGGAGGAAACCGGAGCACCCGGAGAAAACCCACGCATGCACGGAGAGAACATGCAAACTCCACCCAGAAAGGCCCCTGGACCGGGGTTTGAACCAGGGACCTGCTCGCTGAGAGGCAGCAGCTCTACCAGTTGCGCCACCGTGCTGCCCTGAGGGAAAAATATCAACTAAATATACACTAAGCACTAACAGCATAAAAACAAAAACTATTTGCCGAACAGCAGCATAAACATGAGTCTGTGTGAGCAGATGAGAAGACATGAACCCAGCAACATGAAACAGATCAGCAGCAACATGAAACAGATCAGCAGCAACATGAAACAGATCAGCAGCAACATGATGTTATTTTTCACAGTGATTCTCCTAGTTAGAGATTCATGAGTCTAACAGCCTCAGGGCAGAAGCTGTTCCTCAGTCTAGTGGTTCTACACTTAATGCTCCTCAACCTCCTTCCTGAGTTGAGTGGGGCAAAAAGTGTGTGTGCTGGGTGAGTGGGGTCCTTCATGATGCACGTGGCCCTCGTCCTTCATCTGGAGGTGTAGATGTCTGTGATGGTGGAGACTGATTCCAACATCTTCTGTGCAGCCTTCACCACTCTCTGCAAAGCTTTTCTTTCTGCAGCTGTGCAGCCTCCATGCCACACATTGATGCTGGAGCACAGGATGCTCTCCACTGCACACCTGTAGAAGGAGGTGAGGAACGTTCAGTCCTCACTGAGGGAACACTGCAGGTAATAATGTCCTGAGAGCGCACGCTGTAGCTGCACTCACACAGAGACATGTAGGAGGAGATGTATGAAGGCAGCAGACCAGGAAGTGATTTAAAGATGAAAATGTACCAGTGGGAGAGTCTGTGTGAAGTTAATGGTGACCAGTTAACCGGTGAATACTGGGTGCAGTGGTGGGTACGGTAGTTACAGCCAGTTATGAATCTTAGTGCACCATGATAGACAGCATCCAACATCTGCAGCATCCAACATCTGCAGCATCCAACATCTGCAGCATCCAACATCTGCAGCATCCAACATCTGCAGGGTTCTTGTAGGAGCGTTCATGTAAATAATGTCACCGTGATCAATGGAGGGAAGGAAAGTCACAGATACAAGGTGTTTCCTAACATTCAGGGTTAGACAGGATCTGTTTCTGAAAAAGAAACCTTGGCGAAAACACCTGTTCCAGTGAATTTGTGAGACATATTTGGTAGAAACAGGTCTAAGATGGAATATTTTTCAAGAGTTTTTGTTTCGTCTGGTGTGAGAGTCAATGAGTTGGGTCAGATTAAGTGACAGGCAACATTTTTTGAATTTATCACAGACGGGGCTCAACTTTTCCCATTTGATATTGAAGTCTCTGGCAAGAAAAATGTCTTTGAATTGTAAATTAGCTAGTAAATCAGTCAGCGAAGAAAGGGCCTCAGGGACAGGGACAGTTGTGTGCTGGATAAGGCTGTGAGAACCTATGGCACAAACAGAAACATGGATGAAACAGGAAGTAAAACACATCACACCCTCCACACACTTCCTGTCTCTGCTGGCACCAGCAGCAGCAACAGAAGAAGATGAGGAAGTGGGACAGACAAACAGTCAGACAGACAAACAGACTGTCAGACAGATATTCAGACAGACAGACAAGACAATCAGACAGTCTGTCTGTTTGTCTGTCTGTCTGACAGATTGTCTGTCGGACTGTCTGACTGTCTGTCTGACAGATTGTCTGTCTGTCTGTCAGTTTGTCTGACAGTTTGATAGTCTGTCTGTCTGACAGTCTGTCAGACAGTCAGACAGACAATTTGTCAGACAGACAGACAAACAGACAGACAGCCATCGACTGTCAGACAGACAGTCAGACAGAGACAGTTTCTGTGGTCGCAGCTTCTCTTTTCATGGAATCAAAGACGTTTCAGTCCTGATCCATGTTTTCACGTCTGTTTATTCAAACAACAAACATGATTTAAATCAAACTGGTGACAAAATAAACAAATTTAGTTTTAATTCACTTTAATAAAGTCTGATTTATTCACTTTTTCAACAAGAATATTAACTTGTTTTTATCAAATAAACCCATGAGAACACGTCCTGTAGTTTGTTGGTCGTCCTCTACAGAATCTGACATCAGCAGTTTCAGTGCTCAAGGTTTGTCTCGTCAGTCCATCTGTCTGTCTGAAAGTCTGTCTGAAAGTCTGTCTGACAGTCTGTCCATCTCTCTGTCCTCTTGTCTTAATCTGTCCACTTGTCTCTGATCTCTGTGCATCTGTTTCTGCTCAATTGTCTCTGTTTGTCCACCTTTCTTTGTCCTTATGTCGCTTTTTTCATCAGTCCTCCAGCTTTACCTCCAAAGAAGCGTCAGTCATCATCAGGCCCTGTCCCCGCCCACTGCAAGGTTGCCATAGTAACACCAATGATAAGAGAACTCGAAGAAACACAGGTGGAGCAGGTAGGAACCCTTGATTTATGTTCTCTGGTTCTGTCCAATCAGATTAAAGCTGCGTTCATCCATACATCCACCTTTCATCATCTATCCATCCATCCATCTTCCTTCATCCATCCAACATCCTTCTGTAGAGGAACATATATCTGTGATATATTATCCATAAATTAAACGGATTCATTCATTTTTCTGGACTGAATAATATCGTGCATTGAATAATTAAATGTAACGTGAGACGTTAATTTTCTTTGACCCATCAAATGAATGTGGTCATTTATTAACAGAATCAAAGTTTAACATCACACATTTACATTAATTTGGCAAAATTGATTACAACAACAGCTTAATTAATTAGCTTTACAGTCAGGAAAACCATACGGCCATGATTTTCCTTTGCTTCACAACAGACATTTCTGAAAATATCTGGAATGATTTGCTGGCAGGATAGAAGAGTTTTAAAGATGGGAAAATGAAGTTTAAATAGAGAGAGAAGATGGATGAGGGGTTGTTATGTGTCGGTATCAGAACGGCACGCTCCGTTAAGATCTCAGCTTCCTCCTCGGTACACTTAGGTGGTGTAAATCGACTCTTTACCTGTAGCAGGTGTCTCCACTGGTACGGAGTTCCATTTAACGCACCCTTTCAGCGTCTCCGTAGGAACAGCTGTGAATCGTCCGAAGTAGTGACGGTATTCCGTCCGACACAGGTTCACCCCCACTGGTGGACTCACAAGAGGAGTAAGTCCGTCAGAGGCTCCACTCAGATGTGGAAGATTTCATAATTCCCACAAGACTCGGAAGAACTCCGGATCATGTCTGGAACTCCTGTACTCTCCAGCACTTCTTCTGTTCGGTTTTGCTCTCCAAACTGAACTGCTCTCCCACCGCACACGACTCAACAGGTTTGAACTAGGAAGTGCCGACATTTAAAGAGTTCTGTTTCCGGTTCATTTGGGAAGATTGGCCGGAATAGCTAATCAGGGGTGTGTTTTTGTGACGTAAGAGGTCACTAGAAGTCAGAAAAACAGAAAGAATGTTTTGGAACAGATTGAAAATGTTTTAGAGACAGACGAGAGAAATGTTTAGGCGAGTTGGGGGAAAACAGGTGCCAGCTTCTCTATTTACGTCTGAGAGGATTTAAAAACATGACAGTTCGTTCCAACAACTTGTTTTGCGTTTGACTCCGACATTTGACCGACATCACAACTTGCACATTTCAGACAGAAAATCAGAAAATGCATGAATTACTCCGTAACACATTCTAACTTGATTTCTACTTTGAATGAGGATTAAAAAATCACTAATACTGTTTCACAGTTGATTTAAAATGAGTAGTTCACTTCAACATTTAAAAATGGTTTGAACTAAACACACTTTGATTATCAAGACATTTGTAAGATAGTAATGATAATAGAAAAAGAGAGTGTTCTTTCAATTGACCAGTGCAGGACACTTAGAAAGTCTCTGGATGAACTTAATCTTGTGTTTCTGGACTCAAATCAATGAAATACAGTTCTTGTCCCAGGAAGGCCCTCAAGGCCAGGATTTGACCTGAGGCTTAGTTCACTACACTTCCATCATAATCCATCCATCTCCTCTTCTTCAGGGTTGGGGTTGTTGGGGAGGGGATAGTTTTCCTTCAGTTTATTGAATAAACAGAACCAATTAATTGTTTTCATCTTCACGAGGTTGGATTTATTCTATTTTAAGACCTATGGAGGAACAGCTGAGTTTTATTTTCATTCATTCATTCAACCTTTATTTCTACACGTTGGTCTCATTGAGCCTCGAGGATTCATTTACAAGAGACACATGATTTAAGAAAGAACACAGATGAGTTAGAGACAACAACAGACAATCATAAAAGAAGCATATAAATTGAAAAATAAATTGAAGAAAATTATATAAAAAAACTCAACAAAAAAACATCTAGATTATAAGGCGGTGTAGAAAACTAAAAACAGGAACATGTCTGCGCTGGTTCTTTCCATGAACTTATCAGATGTTTGAAGACACTTAGAGAGGTCAAAGGTCGAGAGCTTCAGATCTTTTTACAAGATATTCCAGGAAACAGGAGCGGAGTAGGAGAAGGTCCTTTTGTCTAGTTCAGTCCTCACTGAGGGAACACTGCAGGTAATGATGTCCTGAGAGCGCACGCTGTAGCTGCACTCACACAGAGACATGTAGGAGGAGATGTATGAAGGCAGCAGACCAGGAAGTGATTTAAAGATGAAAATGTACCAGTGGGAGAGTCTGTGTGAAGTTAATGATGTCCAGTTAACCAGTGAAAACTGGGTGCAGTGGTGGGTACGGTAGTTACAGCCAGTTATGAATCTTAGTGCACCATGATAGACAGCATCCAACATCTGCAGCATCCATCATTTGCAGCATCCAACATTTGCAGCATCCAACATCTGCAGCATCCAACATCTGCAGCATCCAACAT